TCAGCCAAAGGCCAAGATAATCACTCTGAAAAGGCACAAACAATCATTGTCGTCCAGAATAACCTCCTGTACGCAACCAAAAATAAAAAAACACAAAAATCAGCGATAAATCCGCAGTGCAAGTATTCAGCCCTAACTACTTGGGCAAAGGGGTATAGATACGCGTTGGAAAGTCTCTTAGGTTTGAGCTTTGAACACAGAAATTTAGGTTTAGAGCCACATCACTTGGCAAGCAGGAAAGGGGGAAGCTCAAATCTTCAGTTTCAGGCACCCGCACCAAGACTTCCCGCAACAAAAAAACTTCAAGCCTAAATCCTACGCACGCAGCTTAGGGTCGAGGATATCAGTATCAACAAGCCTCAGCCTCAGTGCCAAACCGACAAGGCAGCCACATTGATGGGCCAGATACGTTTGAATTATACTTGCCACTTGGGTACTGCCCCTACCCAGTAACAGTGTCTTTTAGGTGTCATACTAAAGGCTCTATATGTCCATATTATACTTATGGTGCAGCTGTTACTGAGTAGGGGCAGTACCAAACTTATCAGCGTGAAGTGCTTGTGTTGGCGCAAGGGTCCCCATGAACAACCCTTCCCCAAAGCTCCTTGTGCCTAATTCCCCGATACCCAAACTTTGGGGTACCCCAAGCCCTACCTGAACCCCAAAAATGTGTAAAATGGCCTTTAGGGCTATTATTATGGGTTTAGGGCTATTATTTTACATACTTTTGGGTTTAGGTAAGTCTTAAACCCTACATAAACCTCAAACCCTGAGCATGAGTAAGCCATGTAAGATACAAAGGGCCTATAAAACCCAAACCGCAAGAGCTCCTGGGTCTCATTCGGACACTCCGCAGCTGCAGTTGCAGAGGTGCTCCTGGGACAGTGATAGTGGATGTTGCACCTTGGGGCGCTGGAGGTGGAATCTGACAGAGACCTGCTCTGGCGGTGCCACTGGGCCTGGGGTATTGGGGATAGATGTCAACAATTAAAGATATAACAGGGAATTTCAGAGGAACGAAAATGCATTGCAAGGAGTTTGAGAAGGAATGGTATGGAATGAGTAAACCTTGGGACGCAACCCCATCTAGGTATTCTGAAGGTGTAAAGGGATCCCGCTTTGTCATTCTGTGGAGATTGGTGTGGAAAACTCCTATAGATGGCTGCGGGGGTCCAAGCAAGACCGTTCAGATAAAGGGTGAACTGGAGCTATACCAGCCTACACATAGCTTGCATGGCGCATACTCCCGTGTTTCAAAGTCTGCTAGCTCTGGATGCTAGAGACTACTGCATAGAGTCGGGACTCGCCGACTGCATGATGGTCTGAGCAAGGTAACTGTAGCAGGTGAACTGCAATCTCAAGCGTCCTCGTGCTGCAGAGCTATGACATTTCAGGCGGATTTATGAATCTCGCGGTCCCTTGTCTGTAGGCTTGTCTGACAGCAGTTGTGGGACCAGTAAGAATGATGGGATTTCGGGGGGGGGGCTTACCCTTGATATGGTCCCTTTGAACTA